CCGCACAGACTGTAACAACTACAGGGGCATCTCACTCCTCAGTGTGCCGGGAAAGGTCCTGGCAAGGATTATTCAGCATCGACTTGCCAGGCACGCTGAGGAGAGGCTTGCGGAGCCCCAATGCGGTTTCAGGAAAGGGCGGTCCTGCACAGATGCCATATTTTCTGTCCGTCTGCTACAGCAGAGGTGTAGGGAATTCCAACAAGACCTACATCTCTGCTTTATTGACCTGGTCAAGACCTATGATACCATCAGTAGGCCTGGGCTTTGGGCCGTTCTTCGTGCTTTTGGAGTACCTGACCCTCTGCTCACGATCATTAAGGACCTTCATGATGGTGAGCGGGCCCGGGTAAAACTACGTGGCCGGGAGTCAGAGCCATTCCCTGTACACCTTGGGGTGCGACAGGGATGTCCTCTGGCTCCCACATTATTTAACATCTATTTTGACCACGTAGTTCGTGAAGCCTTCAATAGCTGTACCGGGGGAATCTCCATATGGTACAGATATAATGGGAGGCTAATCGATGCCCGGGTGCGGTCAAGGGATGGCTCCCTATTGCTCAACCACGTTATGTATGCTGATGATTTGGTAATAGCTGCTCAGTCAGAGGAGGAGTTGGAGACGCTGCTGCTGAGACTGGAGTGTGCCACTAAGAGGTGGGGCCTTACCATCAGCCCCACCAAAACTAAGCACCTGCCTGGGTATTTTGTACCATCGGACACTCCACCCCCACAACTCCCAATCGGTGATGGGGCAGTTGTGGAGAGAGTGGAGAGTTTCCCATACCTGGGCAGTGTGCTTATGACTGGCTCCAGTTTAACAGCAGAGGTCTCACTCCGAATCAGTCGAGCGGCAATATCTTTTCATCGGTTGCGTAACGCTGTGTGGAAGCTACCTGGTCTGTCGCTCCGCACTAAGCTTCAGGTCTTCTCGGCCACGGTCATTCCCTCCCTTCTCTACGCTTGCGAAACGTGGACCCCCCTAATGGAACATCTTCGCCGGTTATAAACATTTAGGCTGGCCTGCCTACGATCCATCCTGGGTTTAACCAGACTGGATTGTGTGAGGAGCTCACAAATCCTTGAAAGATCTGGGCAGGGTCCCATCGGTGAGCTCCTCCGGCAGGCAAGGCTGCGATGGCTGGGTCATGTAGCCCGCATGCCCAGCCACCGCATGCCGAAACAGCTTTTGTTTGGCCGGATTGAGGGGGCTAAGCGGGCGCGGCACGGGCTAGAGAAGAGATGGAGTGATGTGGTACAGGAGGACGTGGAGCTGAGTGGACTTGCCGATGACTGGTACCAGCGGTGTCAACATCGGCCTCTGTGGAGGAGGCTCGTGAAGGATGCTACTGGGCAGTTGGAGGCAGTCGCCCTCCAACAACAACGGAGGGCGGAGGAGCGACGCTCACAACAGCGAGTGGAGCGCCGGGTGGCTAAAGCACAGCAGGTTGGCACAGTAGGGGGCACAGGTGGTGCATCAGCCAGTCATCTCAGTCAGTCGACCCGTGGCACCTGGGTCTGCCCCGTGACCTCCTGCCAGCGGGCGTTCGACACTTCACGTGGCCTCAGGGTGCACATAGCCTGGCACAAGCGTCGTGGTGACGTCACCGCCACTTAGTGGCGAAAGGCGGTTGTTGTTGTTGTTGTTGTCTCTGTGTGTCTCTGTGTGTGTCTCTGTGTGTCTCTCTGTGTGTGTCTCTGTGTGTGTCTCTGTGTGTGTCTCTGTGTGTGTGTCTGTGTCTCTGTGTGTGTGTCTGTGTGTGTGTCTCTGTGTGTCTCTGTGTGTGTGTCTCTGTGTGTGTCTCTGTGTGTGTCTCTGTGTGTTTCTGTGTGTGTCTCTGTGTGTCTCTCTGTGTGTGTCTGTGTGTGTGTCTCCACGTGTGTCTCCACGTGTGTGTCTCTGTGTGTGTCTCTGTGTGTGGCTCACTGTGTGTCTCTCTCTGCGTGTCTCTCTCTGCGTGTCTCTCTGTGTGTCTCTGTGTGTGTCTCTGTGTGTGTCTCTGTGTGTGTCTTTGTGTGTCTCTCTGTGTGTGTCTCCACGTGTCTCCACGTGTGTCTCTCTGTGTGTGTCTCTGTGTGTGTCTTTGTGTGTCTCTCTGTGTGTGTCTCCACGTGTCTCTGTGTGTGTGTCTCTCTGCGTGTCTCTGTGTCTCCACGTGTCTCTCTGTGTGTGTCTCTGTGTGTGTCTCCACGTGTGTCACTGTGTGTCTCTGTGTGTGTCTGTGTGTGTCACTGTGTGTGTCACTGTGTGTCTCTGTGTGTCTCTGTGTGTCTCTCTGTGTGTGTCTTTGTGTGTATCTCTGTGTGTCTCCACGTGTGTCTTTGTGTGTCTGTCTGTGTGTGTCTCTCTGCGTGTCTCTGTGTCTCCACGTGTCTCTCTGTGTGTGTTCTGCGTGTCTCTGTGTGTCTCTGTGTGTCTCTGTGTGTCTCTCTGTGTGTCTCTGTGTGTCTCCACGTGTCTCTCTGTGTGTGTTTCTGCGTGTCTCTGCGTGTCTCTGTGTGTCTCTCTGTGTGTCTCTGTGTGTGTCCACGTGTCTCTCTGTGTGTCGCTCTCTGTCTTTCTGTGTGTCTGTGTGTGTCTCTGTGTGTCTCCACGTGTGTCTTTGTGTGTCTCTCTGTGTGTGTCTCTGTGTGTTTCTGCGTGTCTCTGCGTGTGTGTCTCTGTGTCTGTCTCTGTGTGTCTATTTGTGTCTCTGTCTTTGTGTGTCTCTATCTGTCTCTGTGTGTCTCTGTGTGAGTGTTTCTGTGTGGGTGTCTCTCTGTGTGTCTCTCTGTGTGTCTCTCTGTGTCTTTGTCTCTCTCTGTGTCTCTCTGCGTCTCTCCGAATCTGTGTGTCTCTGTGTCTCTGTGTGTCTCTCTCTGCGAGTCTCCGTGTGTGTCTCTGTGTGTCTCTGTGTGCCTCTGTGTGTCTCTCTGAATCTGCGTGTCTCTCTGTGCCTCTGTGTGTCTCTCTCTGCGAGTCTCCGTGTGTGTCTCTGTGTGTCTCTCTGAATCTGTGTGTCTCTGTGTGTCTCTCTGTGTCTCTCTGAATCTGTGTCTCAGGACAACACAGAGATTCAGGACATGGAGCTGTCAGATGGAGAGGAGGAACAGAATCCAGACACAAACATCCGTACGAAGACTCACTCACCCACTCACTCACTCACCCACTCACTCACATACTCACCCACCCACTCACCCACCCACCCTCTCACCCACCCACTCACCCACCCACTCACTCACCCACCAACTCACCCACCCACTCACCCACCCAACCACCCATTATCCCACCCACTCACCCATTCACTCACCCACTCACACGCTCACTCACTCACCCACCCACTCACCCGCCCACTCACCCACTCACACACCCACTCACTAACTCGCCCACTCACCAACTCACTCACTCACCCACTCACTGTGTGTGTCTCTGTGTGTGTCTCTGTGTGTGTCTGTGTCTCTGTGTGTGTCTCTGTGCGTGTCTCTGTGTGTTGTCTCCGTGTCTCTGCAGTTGTCCCTCCGCCTGTCTCCGTGTCGCTGGCCGCTGTCTCCCCGGCGCTGCTGCTGAGCGCACTCACGGCTACGGGGACAAACTCACCCACCTTGCAAGGTGACGCTCACCACTCGCTCACCACTCACCCACTCGCTCACTCACCCACTCACTCACCCACTCACCCACTCACTCACTCACCCACTCACTCACCCGCTCACTCACTCACTCACTCACCCACTCACCCACTCACTCACTCACTCACCCACTCACTCACTCACTCACCCACTCACTCACCCACTCACTCACTCACCCACTCACTCACCCACTCACTCACCCACTCACTCACCACTCACCCACTCACCCACTCACTCACCCACTCACTCACCCACGCACTCACCCACTCACTCACTCACCCACCCACTCACTCACTCACCCACTCACTCACCCACTCACTCACCCACTCACCCACTCACCCACCCACTGACTCATCCACTCACTCAGCCACTCACTCACCACCTACCCACCCACCCACTCACCACTCACTCACCCTCTCAACGTCTCTGTGTATCTCAGTGTCTCTGTGTGTCTCAGTGTCTCCGCGTGTCTCAGTGTCTCTGCGTGTCTCCGCGTGTCTCCGCGTGTCTCAGTGTCTCTGTGTGTCTCAGTGTCTCTGTGTGTCTCAGTGTCTCCGTGTCTCTGTGTGTCTCAGTGTCTCCGCGTGTCTCAGTGTCTCTGCGTGTCTCCGCGTGTCTCCGCGTGTCTCAGTGTCTCTGTGTGTCTCAGTGTCTCCGCGTGTCTCAGTGTCTCAATGTCTCCGCATGTCTCCTCCCAGGGTTGACCAGTCTGCTCCAAACCGCCGTTGCCCAGGCGACCGCCAACCACCACCAACAACAACACCAACACCACCAACAACAACACCACCACCAACAACAACACCAACACCAACAACACCACCACCACCAAGCTGCTCCCGCTGCGACCGCCCTCCCTCAGGCCCCCGCACCATTGTCCGCAGCCCCGGCCCAGCGGGCCAACGCCGACCCCCGGTCGCAGCGCCCGCGGGCCGACGAGCCGCCGCCGCCAGCCGACGGAGTCCACGGCAGGGCGCGGCAGGCGGTGGCGGACAGACCGGGAGACAGACCTGGGGATAGATCAGGGGTTAGACTAGGGGACAGACCTGGAGACAGACCTGGGGATAGATCAGGGGTTAGACCTGGGGACAGACCTGGAGACAGACCTGGGGATAGATCAGGGGTTAGACTAGGGGACAGACCGGGAGACAGACCTGGGGATAGATCAGGGGTTAGACTAGGGGACAGACCGGGAGACAGACCAGGGGATAGACCGGGAGACAGATCAGGGGATCGACCGGGAGACAGACCGGGAGACAGATCAGGGGACCGACCTGGGGACAGACCTGGAGACAGATCAGGGGACAGACCTGGAGACAGATCAGGGGACAGACCTGGGGACAGACCTGGAGACAGACCTGGAGACAGACCGGCGGGGGGCAGGCGGGGGGGCGTGAGAGTCGACGGGGCCCCTGGACATTCTCCTCACCACCACCACCACCATCAGCCCGGGGCGGCGGCGGCGGCAGCGGCAGCCGCCGCCCTCGGCAGCCTGGAGAGCCGCATTCAGGACTTCCTGCAGGGTGGGGGATTCCCCGGCCTGGCCGCCGCCGGAGGCCTCCCGGACTTCGCCGCGGGCACGGGGGCGGGGGCCCTGCCGGCAGGCGGCGGGTCCACGCCAGTCCGCGACGAGGTGGGGGCAGGAGGAGGAGGAGGAGGAGGGGGAGGAGGAGGAGGGGGCGTTGGTGGAGCCACCCCGACCCAGGACGAGAGGGAGCCCAACGCCGCCTCCGCCGCCTCCGCCGCCTCCGCCGCCTCCGCCGCCTCCCCGGTTCCCCTGGAGCAGAAGCAGCCCCAGCGGAGGCTCAAGCTGGCCGAGTGGAGCAGAGGATGGGGCCGGAGCGCCAGGGCCTCCTGTTCGGCAAGCCGGCGGCCGCCGCCGCCGCGGCCGGCACCGTGGCCGCCGCGACCGACGGCGGCGACGGCGGCGGCGACGGCGGCGACGGGGTGCCCGGCCGTGCCGCGACCCACGCCCCCGCCGGGTCCCCGGCCGCGCCGGCGTCCGGCACCGGCCCGGCTAATCGCGGGTTCCAGCCGGCCCCGGCGGTGGCGGCCCCGGCCCCGGCAGCGGCGGCGATCCCCTCGCCGATCCCCTCGCTGCTCCCGTCGCTCGCCGGGATGTCCAGCGAGACGGTGCAGGCCCTCAGCCGCATCCTCAGCCAGGCCCGGCCGGGCCCCGAGCCGGCTGCGGGCCCGGCGGCAGCGGCGGCGGCGGTGGCCGGGGGGAGCAGCTTGAGCCGGACTTGGCCGGGACAGGCCACCGTCACCGCCGCCGCCGCCGCCACCGCCACCGCCTTGTCGGCGTCGTCGGCGTCGGCGTATCCATCCTACTCCGCCCTGAGCTCGGTGCTGAACCAGAAACTTCTGACCTCTCCCGCGACCTCCGCCGTGACCCCCGCCGTCTCGTCGTCCGTGACCCGAGCCAACCCGCCGGGCGGCTCGCAGGACGAGGGCCTGCGGATGATCTCCAGGAACCTCCTCGTCCTGAGCGACCTTTACAACAGCGACGACGACGACGACGAGGAGGAGGAGGAGGAGGATGAGGCGGCTGCGGCTGAGGAGGAGAGGATGATGAAGAGGAGGAGGGAGGAGGAGGAGGAGGAAGAGGAGGAGGAGGAGGAGGAGAGGATCAGGAGGAGGAGGAGGGAGGTGGTGGATGAGGATGAGGAGGAGGAGGTCGGCATGGAGGTCTCCCTCCTCCCCCAGGCCCCCGCTCCCTCCCTGCCCCATGGGTCCACGGCGGCCGGGGTCATGTCCCTGGTGGTGGGCGGCGGTGCGGCTCGGCTCTTCAGGCCCGCCGTGACCCAGGGCCGTGCCGAGGCGTTCCCGGGTGCCCCCGTGGGGCCTCCCCGAGCCCCCCTCGTCGGGGCCTTCTCCAAGGCGGCGGCCGGCGGCGGCGGCGGCGGTGGCGGCGGCCTCCCCGAGCCCGCGGCCCTCCCGCCGGGCGCCTCGCCCGGGGCCTTCCCCAGCAGGCCGCCGGGTCCCCAGGAGGGCGTCGTGCGCCCACTTGGACTCCAGGAGGCCTTGGCCAGGCCGCCGCCGGGCCTTCTCGGGGACGAGGACGAGGAGGAGGAGGAGGAGGAGGAGGCGACGGCCCCGGCCGCCGGACGTTTTGGCTCGGCCGCTCCGCCGCCGCCGCAGATGAACGTCCCTCCCATGGCGACGTTTCTGTCATCGGAGGGCTCGCCGGTGACCAGTGGGGGGCCGCCGCAGCCGCAGCCGCCGCCACAGCCGCCGTGCCCTCCGTCCGCGGGGGGCCGCCCGCAGCTGCTGCTGGCCAGCGTGCGGCCCCAGGCGCCGCAGCCGCTGCTGGCCAGCGTGCCACCGACGGTCGTGACCGCGGACGCCCGGGGGAGGCCCCCCGGGGGCCCGGCGGAGCCCTTCGCCCTCCGCCGGGGCCGCGCGCCGGCGCCCCCGGCGCCGCCGATTCTCCTTCTCCCCCCTCCCCCCGTGGACGGCGGCGCCAGGCCCCCCGGGGGACCCCCCCGGCAGGAGGCGAGGGTCAGGCCGCTCGTCGCCACGGCCAGGCACCGCGACGCCGCCTGGCCCAGTGGCGACGACGGGGGGAAGGCCGAGGATCCGGGGCCCGCCAAGGGCGAGGAGCCGGCGGCCCCGCCGGCGCCGGCCCCGCCGTTGCCGCTGGGCCAGGGAGCGACTTGGCCCGGCGTTCAGCATCAGCAGCAGCATCAGCATCAGCAGGAGAGCGAAGGCTACTTCCAGCACCACCAGCAGCATCAGCAGCAGCATCATCAGCAGCAGCAGCAGCTGACGATGTCGGCGATGGACGGCGGCGGCGGCGGCGACGGCGACGGCGGCCACCTCCTCCACCACCACCACCATCACCACCACCTCCACCTCCCGTTCCCGCCCCCGCACGGCGGGCCGCCGCCCCCGTCCCCGCCCGTGGCGGCGGGGGCGGTGGGCAGCGAGCGAGGTGCCGGCGGGGTGCCGCCCCCACCGTGCCCACCGCCGGCCCTGGGGCCCCTCCTCCCGCCCCACCACCACCCTCACCACCACCACCCTCACCACCACCCCCCTCCTCCTCCTCACCACCACCCTCACCACTTCGGCCCCCGCGGGCGCCCGCCGCCGCCGCTTCCTCCTCCCCCGCCGCCGCCGCCGCCGCCCCACCTGGCCCCTCCCTGGGCCGCGGGGCCTTGGGCCCGGCGGCCGCCCCACCCACAGCAGCCGCCGCGGCAGGGCGGGTTTGGGCCTGGCAGGGGGGTGGCGATGATGATGATGATGGGCGGCGGCGGCCCCCCTCACAAGAGGCCCTTCATGGGGCCTCCGCATTACTGAGCGTGCGTGGCGGCGGCCGTGGGTTCAGTGGTGGGAGTAGCGGTGGGGGGTAGGGGGTAGGGGGGGTGGGGTGGGGGGTGGGGGGTGGGGAGGGTTAGGGGGGGCAGGAGAGGGGGAGTAGCGGGGTTGATGTGGGAGGTAGCACGGGAGGAGGAGAGGGGGAGGAGGAGGAGGGGGGAGGAGGAGGGGGGAGGAGGAGGAGGGGGGAGGAGGAGGAGGGGGGAGGAGGAGGAGGGGGGAGGAGGAGGAGAGGGAGGAGGGAGGAGGAGGAGGAGAGGGAGCAGGAGGAGGGGGGAGGAGGAGGAGGAGAGGAGGAGGAGGTGGGAGGGGGGAGGGGGAGGGGGGAGGAGGAGGGGGGGGAGGGGGGGGGGGGAGTTGTATAGGGGGGGGGGTAATTGTATAGGGGGGGGAGTTGACTAGGGGGCTATCGGGGCAACCCGGGAGCGGTCTTGGGGGGGGCCTGTGGGGTCTGGCTCCTTCTTTGCGAAATGAAGAAAACTGCGGGCGGCAGGCGGAGCCGGGGACATCCTGAGGTGTGGCGGTGCAGTGCGGCGGTGCGTCTTTGTGGGGGTGCTGGAGGGGCCATGAGGGAGGGAGGAATGTGGATTAACGATTTCGTGTCGTCGTGGGGGTTGATGAAGGAGTCTCGGGGGGGGGGGGGGGGGTTTGCGGGAGGGGCCCGGTGCCTCCGTCCTCCCACCCCCACCCCCACCGGCGAGATTCGTCCGGCGGGGAAAAACTTCCGAGGTTTGGGAAAAGCGCCGAGGGATTTTTTTAAATTTGTTTTTTTTTTCCCCCCGCTTGGCGCTCTTTCCCGGCGTCTTGTCAAACCCGGCGCCGCCGCCGCCGCCGATTAGCGCTCACGGTCGGCTACGTACGGCGGTGCGAGTGAAGTTTCACGTCCAGAGACGCACAGAATCGCGTACAGAGACTTGTAGCCTCACACAGAGACCCGTAGACTACTCACACAGAGACCCGTAGACTCACACAGACACTCACACAGAGACCCACAGACTACTCACACAGAGACCCGTAGACTACTCACACAGAGACCCGTAGACTACTCACACAGAGACCCGTAGACTACTCACACAGAGACCCGTAGACTACTCACACAGAGACCCGTAGACTACTCACACAGAGACCCGTAGACTACTCACACAGAGACCTGTAGACTACTCACACAGAGACCCGTAGACTACTCACACAGAGACCCGTAGACTACTCACACAGAGACCCGTAGACTACTCACACAGAGACCCGTAGACTACTCACACAGAGACCCGTAGACTACTCACACAGAGACCCGTAGACTACTCACACAGAGACCCATAGACTACTCACACAGAGACCCGTAGACTCACATAGAGACCCGTAGACTCGTTAAACAGAGACCCGTAGACTACTCACACAGAGACCCGTAGACTACTCACACAGAGACCCGTAGACTACTCACACAGAGACCCGTAGACTACTCACACAGAGACCCGTAGACTACTCACACAGAGACCCATAGACGACTCTCACAGAGACCCATAGACTACTCACACAGAGGCCCATAGACTACTCACACAGAGACCCGTAGACTACTCACACAGAGACCCATAGACGACTCTCACAGAGACCCATAGACTACTCACACAGAGACCCGTAGACTACTCACACAGAGGCCCATAGACTACTCACACAGAGACCCATAGACTACTCACACAGAGACCCGTAGACTACTCACACAGAGACCCGTAGACTACTCACACAGAGACCCATAGACTACTCACACAGAGACCCGTAGACTCACATAGAGACCCATAGACTACTCACACAGAGACCCGTAGTTTGTCCTCCCCCCTGCGGCTCCGACCAACTATGGCCAGCTATGTCCGGCGATGCTAAAGAAGTTTAGCACACGCACACACAACATGCACAATGCGCGTGGGCACATTTGACCGCCTACGTGTTTCGACGACGGGATTTGCGATTCAACGATCGTCGTCGTCATCGTCATCATCGTCATCATCGTCATCATCGTCGCCATCTTGGCAAAGGCGACCGCAAGACGAGCCGACTCGGAACCTAGCGGTTGCTGTCGCTTCGGCCATGTTGCCTGGGTGGTGGTGGTGGGGGAGCCACCAGTCACGGTGGCCATGTTGGGTGGGGCAGGCAGCAGTCACGGCGGCCATGTTCGGTGGGCGGGGCGAGGGGGGCGGCGGTCACGGCGGCCATGTTGCTTGTTGGCGGGGGGGGGGGGGGGGACGTCACGGCGGCCATGTTACCAGGGGGGGGGAGGGCGGCGGTCACGGCGGCCATGTTGGTTGGGGGGGGAGGGGCGTCACGGCGGCCATGTTACCAGTGGGGGCGGGGGGGAGGGGAATAATGCCCACAGCGGAGTGACGTCATCGCCCCCCCCCCACGATCGACGATCGCAAATCGCGCATTTGTGACGGGCGGGACGGCGGTGGCGACGATGGCGAAGACGATGATGACGATGGCGGTGGCGACGATGGCGGTGGCGGTAGCGACGATGGCGACGATGATAGTGGCGACGATGGCGGTGGTGACGATGATGGATACGATGGCGGTGGCGACGATGGCGGTGGCGACGATGGCGACGATGGCGGTGGTGACGATGGTGGCGGCGACGGCGTCACCGGCGGACGAGTCCAGGGGCCAGCAGCGGCGGCGGCGGCGGTTCCGGCGTCGTCGGCAGGTTTTCCGTCATTCG